GGAGGAGAGCAACACAAGCCATTTTTAATCTTAAGAGCCAGAAGTAAACCCTCCTTCTGGCTGACATTTTTATTTTGCCATGGAACAGCTAGGCTTAGCTGCAAGGTTGCAGTTCTCATATATTTTTGTAAACTATATATTAATGCCTGAGCCGTTTGCCTTAGAATATTTTGTAATGCTAACTGTCAACCAGGTGATAAATTATACAATATTCTCTGAGATTCTACTAAATGATTATGCAAGATGAGATTCTGTTTGATTTTTTAATGTACAGTTTAGGAAGGGTCTGCATCCTTTGGAGGCAGCCAAGGTACAACAAGCAGCAAGACAGAAGCAAACAATTTCTTCTTTCACATTAATAAAAAAGCAGTACTACCTTCCAACTTCATGACATACAACTTGAGAGAAAAAAAAATCTAAATAGAAGAGAGTTGGAAACTGCCTATGACCTCATGAACTGCTACATGCATTACAAAAACAAAAACAAAAGGCAAGTCAGACTTAGCAAGCCATGAGATAAAGATACCCTGAATCCTCTCTGTTTTCTTCAGATTATTGAGCAAACAAACAAGTCCATATTCTCTTTAAGCCCTGATTTATTATTGCCTCACGGCCTCGACTTGCCTCATCTAGAACAAGAAATTAAAAAGAGGCTATTACTTTAAGCCGAAACCAAACGGCAAATCGATCACGAAACCACCAATTATACAACGGACCCTGCAGCTGGTTCGGAGCTAGGCCCCCCAAGAAAAATTCAAAGAAAACATGCATGCAGCCTCATCCTCACATGCCACTCGACCAAAGATCCAAATGAAAAATCCAACTTGATTTGGCGCATTGCCATGCATTTTCTTATACTGCCAAGGCCGGTCAAGAGCGAGCTAGCCATGCGAGCGTGAGGTCCAGTCATCCAGCATTAGCCGGCCGGCCGGCCGCTTTCCTTTATCGTTTCTCTAAATACGTCGTCGAATTGCCTCATCCCAATAAACATTTGCACGGTTGCGGCGTCGTTTCTGCCACAAAACCAAAAAAGGAAAAAAAAAGAAAGAAGTTTTCAAAAAGGAAATGGAGTCGTCGTCGGCGTTGGAATTATATTTTCTTTGGGAGCAGGAGAACTTAGAGAGGTGTGCAATACCACCCCTCAGTTGCTTACGACTTATTATAAACCGTAATGGTTTTTTAGCGAAAAAAAATTACAAGTAAAATTTTTATATATGTATTCTTAACGACTTAAAAATCCAATGTTTAAAAGAATACGTTGAAAAAAAATCAAAATCAATGGCATCTTTTTTATATATGTTCTTAACTTCAAAAACAATGTTTTAAATTTTAAATTTTAGTATTGATTTGTAAGTCACAGGGCACATATTAAGGCCCGCAAAATGGCTTCTTTTTGCTTTTGATTTCTGGTGCGTGGTCAGCTTCGCATGCAGAATCATGGGCAGGCAGCACGCAGGACGGGGATGTTTTCCGGTGTGCTGCGATTAATTCAGTGTGCGTGGCGTACAGAGAAGTCAGGGTCAGAACGAACTCGGAGTCTGGAAGGCAGAAGGCGTTTGCTTTTCAACTTCTGCTTGAGCTGTTTAGCCTCTTTTCCGTTCCTTGCAACTAGAACACCTCATTTCCACGCGCTGATGCACGCAGCCACCTACGGTAGGGCCGTTGCCCATATCTTCTCCAGGGGACATGACAGGCCAGGGGACATGCCATCTACAGGAGCAGAGTGATGATGTTTTCTGTTATTATCTGCTCTAGATGCAATGCAAGAATTGTCTTCCCGGTGATGTATATATTCAGAGAATGATTTCATTTGAGGTACTCTATCCGTTTCAAAATATAACAACCTATATCGTAAATCTAAACATTTCATAGGATAGTTCTAGGGGAAAAAAATCAATTTCAAGCTTCAATCCATCAGGGTTAAGAACAGGAGATTTTTTTTTCTGTGTTTGGATATTTGATTTCTGGTTATCTAGAGAAGTTGACTTTGCTCTAGAGAAAAGCTCACACATTTTCGCGAGGATATACGGCGCTGTGGACCAGGGCGATGGGAATTTTGATCTTGACATAACCAACGTGAGAACGACTCTTCTGTTTTCCATTGGATAAATAAATGCCTGCACTCAGTGTCCATTTCAAGATATGTCACTGTACACGAATAAATTACAATGTGGCAATCGAATTGACCGATCAACATGTACTACAGCTATGTTTAGTTTAGCGCAAAGTTTAAATTTTGGTTAAAATTGGAGATGATATGACTGAAAAGTTGTGTGTGTATGACAGGTTGATGTGATGAAAAAGGACTGAAGTTTGGATCCAAACTTTGGATTTAAACACAGCCTACATATGTGCGTACTGTAGCTATACCATACTGTATCTGCGCCCATACACAGCTTGTGGCTGTGTTTAGTTCAGCGTAAGATTTTGGTTAAAATTAGAGATGATGTGACTGAAAAATTGTGTGTATGACAGGTTGATGTGATGAAAAATGACTGAAGTTTGGACCCCAAACTTTGAATCTAAACAGAGTCTGTGTATAAATCGGAGCGAGGCACAACTTCGTATGCTCGTAACTGGTGGGCACCAAAATAAAAGCTAGAAGCCGTGCATTTTACCTAACTTCACACCAGTGATTGATTCCAATGTCAACTTCAAGAGATGTCACGTTGCTATTCGCATGACGGAGTGGGGGGCAGTAGTAGGCTTTTACTGCTGAACCGACACAATTGAGTTCTGGTGAGGTGCAATTTAACTGTGATCAATGATCGATCAGAGTTCGGGGTTTCTACAAAGCCAAACGCCAAGGGTCCACGCTAGAAAGAGGTTCAGCGCCGGACAAAAACAGTTCGATCCAACAGCTCTCAGTTTGGAAGCTGTAGCACTTGCAGTCGTAAAATAGGTGAAATATCAGTGTGTGCAATAATAACACTGCCTGTCTCTGCCCCCTGAACCTGACGTGCTTGCACTGCAGGCAGTACCACTATAGTGTACTAGGAGTACGTTTCTTGAATTGATTTCCTCGGATCAAGAGACGCACATATCGCAGGTTTCAAGGTGGTACGGTGAGAGTACGCGTATATCTTTCGCTGATGCGATGATTGCAGCGGAAGATCTCAAGATAAGAAATCAACAAGCGTTCTATCTCGATCGCCTGGAAAACTGCTACTGACAACTCCTCCACGGGTGAGTGAGAAACGGAGAATGTGAGATCCGAGGGCGAGATTTGTTTAAGTTGTACACTTGGCAAATTAACAACAAACAAACAAACAAGGTGGGGTCAAAGTTTTCTCAACCCTCACACGCTCCTACTCGATCTCTTCCATCGCGTTCCACTGGGAATTTGGGATGGATATATAATGACGTCGTCGCGGCTCGGCAATGGCCACGAGGCCAACCAACGCATAAGTTCCAAGCTTCCAATTTCCCGCTGCATTCCTGCAGCCGCCGCCCACGGGAACAGCCGAGCCGGTCCCGTTCGCCCATCCGTACGTCACCCCGTCGCGCTCGCGCTCGCGCTCGCGCATCGCACGCACCCACCCGTCGTCGCGCGCGTCACCGTACGCCGCTTCTGTCGCCATGGCCTCCTGTGAGCGAGGCGTCAAACGTGGTACACGCCCAGGTAGGGAGCAGAGGAGAGGAGAGGAGGGGACACCAACATTGGCCGCGGCCGCAGCGGCGAGTGGAGGGATGAGCGACCCGCGGCGTCGCCCAAGGGGCGCGCGTCCCCTCCGCATGCATGGCGGCCGCCGGGCGAGGCGATCGCGCATGCACGTCCTTGCATGGCGGACGGGGCCTACCGCCACTAGCGGGGAGGACACAATAATGCGAGCTCGATCTATCGCTATAGATTACGGACTAGTGGTAGGATAGGTGAATTCTGTTGCAGATTAATCTACTATAGTATAGTCCTTGGCACAATTTGAGTTCATGATAGGCTATTAGGCTGTGACGATGTGTTCCTTTTAGATTCGACGTAGATGGACAAAAAGGTCTGTCAGGTGTTGACCATTTACGTCACGACTATGAAAATGGCTTCTGGCGAGCGGAGAGAGCATTTGGCCTGAGATATTTTTAGCCTAGCAATCTAGCATGGTGCCAAACGGAGTTGATGAGCCTAGCGAACTGTACGAGACTGACGCCCCTTTTCTTCACAGGAAAGACATGTCAAGGAAAAAAAACAAAACAAAACAAGAAAGAGTAGGATAATCGAGGTATCAAACTAAACCGAGCCCACTAGCCCACCAAGCCCAAGCCGGGCCCAGCCTTGCTTGGGCTCACCCGTAATCCTTTCCCCAGTCCCAGACGGACCAGGCCGCCTGGCCCACCCCACTGCTTTGGTCTGGTCTGTGCTTCAATCATCGTGCACATGTCTAGCACACTTCATATGCACTTCAAGCACATAATATTCACATTTCCAACCAAAAGGCCTATGCACGGAGCACATTCAACCTGAATGGCATCACCTATCAACCTGTGGCATTCCAAGCCACTGCATGTCCACAAGAAAGGATGTATGTAGCAGTAGTAAATACTGGAGTGGTACAAAATGGCCACATTCACGTTCCACCAGCTTTTCTACAACTAGCCAAGAGCCCGTAGACAAACTAAGTTTCTAACTTATTAAATCAATTAATAAGCATATATTTAGTCTAAGTAGTATTATGATTTTCCTTATTGAACAAGTAGGTAGATTAGGGAAGTTCTATTGATTGCTGCTTTCTCCAGACCGCCGGAAAAAGCATGAAAGAAAAGGCTCGAATTGTACGATCCCTCCGTCACTTAGAATGAAAGGGGTGATCTTTTTTTCCGAATGAGAAAGCCTTTGGCCTTGCAAATCCGTTTTTGCCGGGCACAATAGACATATCTGCTCAGTCACAACATAAGGAACCCCCAATGTTCCGATAAGCCTACCCGGCCTGACAGCTTTAGTTGAATGATCTGATCCCGAAGCTAATTTGAGAAGGAGTCAATAGTTTCGTTCAAAGAAGAGTCAATAGTGAAACAGGAAAGGACACGTTAAAGGGTATAGATTATGGGTACTAAATGTCAGTGGTTTGAGTAGTGTGACACAACAAACACCACCACTATAGTATACATAAGCAGGCTTTACTATCCCATCCGTGCTTCTTCCAAAAGAAACATCAAAAATACATCGATGTTTCTAAGCTGCTAGTCCTGCATACAAAACTAAGTTGCTGCTTTCAAGATGTTGGCAACCAAAGCACACCCAAAATCAGGAATATCTATTACAGACTTGCAGTGTTCTCTAACCTCAAAGCAATGCGTGACCAAACAAACGCTACTCCTGCTTCATCTTTGATTCAGGCTGGTAGCATGGATGCAGCAACACATGGATGCACAAGAGCCAGCAGGGAAGATGGACAAGAAATACATACAGATATGTCGCGCTGCTCCATTCCCACAAGAACTCCATCCACAGCCAGAAATCACCAACAATGTCTACTGTCCATGATCCCTTGGATAGACCTTTCATGATAAGAAATGCAGCTGGAGGGAAACCCAAGACGGTGAGAAGTATGTTTGAGGCCAACAATACTGTGCGAGGTAGGAAATTCATCTCGAGCTGTGCCCTCAGCGGTCGAGAAAACAAGCACATTGGGATCAATATCAGAGCCCCAAGCTGAGCAGTAGCAAAATTTATGATCGACATAAGCCCCATTCCTATGGTGATGGAAGTGATCATCGTAGCTTTTAGAAGCTTCCATTCCACACCAGCACGGGATGGAGAGCCAAACATTGCATACAGGATGATCAATATAGTGATGGAGAGAACGGCCCAAATCACTGCATACTGTATTGGCATAGCACCAGGAATTTGGCTAATGTAGTATGGGAGTAAAGAAACAAGTACTGCCCAAAATTGGATGATAAGTAGTACTCTTGCAGATTTAAGCCATTTCCACGATCCACCCTCCATTTGCAGGTCATCAGCATTACCCTTTGTTTTACATTCATCCTCCAATTTCCCCTTGGTTTTACTACCACCAGCAAGAGCAGCAGCAACTATTGGGAGGGGTGCCAGGAGTAATGCAAACGGAATCATATATACACCAACTGAAATGAACTTGCTTGGGGCTGTAAGGAAATACAGGAAAAACGATTGATGGAACTTCTCGAGCAGGTTATTTACAGAGCGCACCACCCCTTCAGTTAACCTGAACAAAAGGCATTCTCAAACATGTTTAGATAATCTTGTGGTGAGATCAACATAAATGCTGTGCTAAGCATCTGCTCTACAAAATGCAGCAGGTGTATTTTACTCAAAAATAAAGTGAACCCTTTAATATGATAAGTCAGAGGTCTTGTGATCCTGCTCCTTTGTTAAGTTCAGTCCAAAACTTCATCAATTTGGGGGAAACGCCAATATACCATTGCCCGCCCCCTTATCGCCCTATATGAAAATACCGTGTGTTGCGACAATGACAGGTGATGTCGGGTATGGCATGTCATTGACACACACTGGTGTTTTTGGCAAACTTGGATTCAGGCAAAGGCAACAGTACCCTTCCCTTATCGTTTCCATTTTTTTTCTTGAAATAAGTTAAATTGTATGTTCTATCATTGGATAAGATCACAGTATGCTAATGCCATTAGCAAATCCTACTATGGAATAATCCAGACACACATACTGACATAAGGACAGACCTAGCAAATTTTTGACTGTTATGAGGCTGACATGCAATCAGACCTCTCACCAGAATAATTCCGCACAAGAATATGCAAGGTTAACAGGCCAAGGCAGTTACAGAATTATTTTATAATCAGCCTTTTGTTGCCTGAGATTATACAGCTTTAGCATCGAACATGTGCTTTAATGCTCACTAATAGTATATTTTGACAATAAAATTAATTGAGCATCACAAAGCAATTAGATATATGAAATTAGGTAATGTTTGACAAAGCTGAATTACTTTGGTTATCAGAGAGAAATACATACATACAAATGGCACAAGCTAGAGTTTGTTTAAAACCTTCAGTATGTATTCAGTTTTCTGGTATCTGACAATCAAACACTTTTGAATAGGTAAACATGCACTCTAATTAAGTAATGAACTGCTTAATGCATGTCAACAATACCTACTTGGCAACATATCCTATGCACACAGGCCCTCACGTGTACACACGTGTATACCAACTAAAAAATGTCACCAAAAAATCTAGAAAAAATCATACCCATACTTTCAATTGTATTACACCTAGGGTTAAAATCTTAACGTCAAATTCATTATATTTTAGCCGTAACAAAAAATCTGACAGTTTTAAGGTTGTAATTTTGTCAGAATTTTATCTTTTTTGTTATTCTCTATGTAGAATGAATTTGAAGATGCGACTTTGCACGTAGATGTAATACTATTGAAAGTACATGTATGAATTTTCCTAGAATTTTTTGTGATAATTTTTAGTTGGTGTACACGGTGTGTACACGCGAGGGCCTGTGTGCATAGGATACGCTCCCTACCTACTTGCTCTAAAAAAGAGCAGCTTAAAATAACACAACCGTAACACAATAGAAACTGACCTTCCACCCCTGAGAAGAAATGAAGATTTAGCATTCTCGTTTTTAAGATGAAATGCTGGTGCAAATTCTAAAGAAACTGCATCAACTTGATAGTCACGGAAAGCACCATGAGAACCTGTGGGCACTCCAAGAGCCTGCAGTTGCAAAGCCAAACAAGAAGGGATTAACAGAGTTGAAAAAACTTATATTTTTATAGACCAAATGGAAATGAATGAACAATATATATTTCAATTACCTGGTTATACATAGAACTAGCAAGGTTTGCAGTACCCTCCACATAATCAGGAACGGTCACGTCAAGCTTCCAGTCAGGATTTATTTTTCTCAACAAACTCCCAAGATTTTGAAATACTTCAGCAATAACCCTAAGCCATGAAGAGCTCAACAAGGAATTAAATGTCTCGACATTCACGCGAAAACCTTGTCTATGAACAGCTAAATAGTGCACCACATTCAGAAGGTCCAAGTTTGGCATTTGGCCATTAGATGCCTCTGCATACATCGTGACACTATCTCTATCACCATATTTCCTGGTTTCTCCAACTTTAAATATGAGTGCAGCAGCCATTGTTCCAGCACGTTTGAAAGCCATAAGTTCTGCCTTTTCTGCAGTGCCATCAGGTTTATATAAAATTTGATTTGCACCATAGATCTTGGTATCCAAATTCACTGGGTGACTCAGAAACATAGGATTATGATACTGATTTAACCATGAAGAGACCGCAGAGTACTCTCCAAATTGTGAGTCTGCAGACAGCCAGACAATATCCTTTGATAGCCATGCAGCTCGACTTAGGAGGGAGAAGACAGAGAATCCAAGTGCAAGTGATAATAATTCATTTGGTGTAACTTTCTGAGAATTATAAGGAGTAACCAGTACAATTGCTTCTTTGCCATCACCTCGTGGAGCCCGTATAATGCCAACTGTGTTAATGCCAAAGTTGGTGTAGGTTCCATTGGGTTTGGCTGCCATATTATTTGTCATGGATGTAAAGAACTTCAGAGGATGAAAACATTTGCTGTCAGGGAGGAACTCATGGTAATACACTTCTGCTCCCAGATTTTTTGTTTGTTGTGCTATGAATTTTGGGATCTCCCTACAATAATGCATAAAATTAGACATTGAGAAAATCATATAAACTTACAAGCTATGGAAAACATAGGATTATACCACTTGTTCCTTCACTTCTTGTAATTTATTATCACTTATTCAATGTGCAGAGTATCATCATCATTGCACAAACTTATAATTTACTTTTAGATTAATATTTCATAAGCAAAAATGTAGAAGTTATATTTACATGTGTGTCTCAATAGGAAAGGACATGACGGTGCTTGATGATGCTCTGAACTTATGCGCAGCATCCACCATTCTACTCATGTGCTAGGGTTTCCACTCAAGTGCATGTATGGTGTGCGCTTGTGCATCTACATTGTTTTCTCATAAAAAACCTGAACTTTGTATATCTCTGACTTTTATTTTATCATTCGTTTGTTACTACCCATGAAAAAACTTCTTTGCGTTTAGAGTTATGTGGATACCATGTCTATGCTCAATAGTATAACTAAAATGCGGTATTAAGGATGTATTTCATCAGAGGAAGCCCCTTAACAGTAGACTCAAAATAGAGCATCACATGATAATTAAACATTATGTACACAGTGCAATTTTTGTTAAAGCCCATTGTCTATGAAGGAAGCAGAATATGAACCAAGGGAACTCTATACAGAATAACATACGTTGTTCCACCTCTTGATTCCCCAATTGCAGCTTCAATTCCCTTCGCAAATCTGTTTGCTTCCTGGACATCCTCAGTAGAAAATAATGTATTCGCAGAGCCTACATTTTAAAACAACTTAATTTGCAGCTAATACCAATGAGAAAGAAGCGTCTGACAATCAGCATCGGAGATGATTGTTTCATGGAATAGCAGTATAAGAAAAAAGCTTACCGGGTATAAGAGCGTTCTCTGATAGGTACGTGTTCTTGGCAAGCGAAGGGAGGAAGAGGAGCGCGATTATGCCCGCCGTACAACACACAGCGCTGGTCACAGAGGGTGAACAATGTCAATGTCTCAGACAGAAAGAAACAGGAGAATCAAGATTGGATCAAAGACGAAGAGATGAGAGCGAACCTGAAGAGTATGTGGTGCGACGCGAGGAATACCCCGAGGCGGACAATGAGGCGCGGCTTCGGTTTTGCCTCCTCCTTAGCTGACGACGCCATGGCAGCAACTTGGTTCAGGTCTGGAGACCGGGAGACTAATCTTGGAGCGGCACAGATCCTGTCTACCCTCGCCGCGCGGGGCAGGATCCCATCAAAAACTGCCACAGAGCTGGACCTCCGCCTCCGCGTGAGCTTCCACAAGTAGATATGCCGATGGAGAGCAGCGGGAGCGGGAGCCACCAGCGGTTCTCCCGGCTGGGGAAGGGATGCGGCTCCGGCGAAGTGGCTTGGTGGGCAAGACGAGCGGATGCGGCGTGGCCAGGGCTCCGCGGCGGCGGAGGCGGAGGAGGAGAGAAGGCGAGCGAAGCGGGCGGCGAGGGGAAGCTGCTCCGTCCTACCTGCTCGCCGGAGGTGGGCGGGGGGTGCCGGCGAGTGGTCGCCGGTGGGTCGCCGCCTCGCTGGAGATCGCGGCGAACCGGCGAGTGAAGGAGATGGGGGAGGGGCAGGCCTGGCCGCGGGCCGTCAGAAGTAAATGGGTCCAGAGAGAAACCGGCTCGTGGACGGGCAGCTCGGCCCACCTAAGGCCCACGAGTCAAGCGAAATATTTATCCTTCTTTTTTCTAAAATTAAAGTTTTCATGACTGGCAAAAACCCACAAAATAATTTTGGGTACTAATATTTATCGACTGAAAATTTTTCACCTGCTGTATTGTTTTTCCACGCTTGTAATGGTTACCTCTCGTTCACGATTGCTCGTTGTTGGATTTTCGTTAATGATGGAGAAGAGGTGCAAAGTAGAGGAGGATAAGGAGTACACACGACTCCGTGGTGGCCAAGGAGGCCGGCCTTGTTGAGCTATCGGAGACCTTGAAGAGTTTGTGTCACCTCATCGACACTTGCTCTCTCTATTGTCAATGTGTCACGCTGGACTTTCCCACAGAAAGCCAAAAGAGTCAGGACATCTTTCCCTCCTAACTGATTGGCTTATTTCTCCTCTTCTTTTAACCCATCGTCTCATAATTATGTCTCTCAATTTCGAAGGGAGGAGTGCTGTAGCTACTCTCTCCATCTAATTTTGATAGTCATATTTCATCTTGGTGCACAGACCAACGATAAGTGATTCTACTTATCATCCATTTAAATATGCTACTAGTCATTCCTCATAAACAAGCGATTTATTAATATTTACTCCCTCCGTACTCGTAAAGGAAGTCGTTTAGGACAGCGACACGGTCTTCAAAACACAACTTTGACTTCTTGTTTCTATAAAAATATTTATTGAAAAGTGATATATGTATACTTTTATGAAAGTATTTTTCAAGTCAAATCTATTCATATAATTTTTGTATTTTCAAAATCAACAACTTGAGAGTTATTAATGATTTATATTTCCAAGGTTTGACTTAAACATTGTCCTAAACGACTTACTTTATGAGTATGGAGGGAGTACATTTCTCGATACCCATGTAGCCAATCTTGTGTGGATGAATGGAGAGTCACGCATTAAATTCAAAAAAATCATTAAGATGATAAGTTGTTAGATTGAAATATGCCTATCAAAAATAAATTTTTCAGATTTGGAAATATGACTATCACAAATAGATGGAGGGAGTATTAATTATAGATAAATGAAACGGGTAGGATGCATGGATTGTTAATCAATGGGTGCATTATATTGGCTCCTCGAATTTTGCTATAGCTAGCTCAAATTTTGAACACAGATCAATTAAAAAAACTAAATGGTGAAAAAGAATATTGTGCCTAGTCGTACTCATCGTGATGAAGTTTGTCCGTTGTGTTTTGTACGTGCCTATGACATTTTTGTTCGTTTGTCCGTTGTTTGGTTGCATAGGAGATCAAATAAATTTTACTCCGTGTTAGATCCCTCGTCTCTTGATATTTGACAATTTCATCCATGAACTGAGATACAGATATGTTTTTTTTTCGAGGTTTAGATAATATATACAACAAGATTCCCCCCAAAAAAAAAGATATACGACTAGATTGGCCAATAATAATTTTCCAAGCACGAGAAAACAAACGTGACTACACAGCTAGTGGCTACCACTCTATTTATAAAGAGACCATATCCACCTATACTTCAAATAAAATTTTATCTTAAATTACTCATACGATCTACGATCCGATTACACCGTTGTGTTCGTAACAATTAAATCTTTATAACAAGATCTCACATGATTATATTTTGAGGAAAAATTATAAATTACTTTTATAATATATCTAAATTACTTTTAGATTTCACTAAATTACTTCTTCGATATACAAAAGTAAATTCAATAAAGCTTAAAAGTAATTTACATATATTATAGAAGTAACTTATAAAAAAAGAAAGTAACTTTAATGCATGTATTTTTTCATTGGATATGACTGCTTGTTTGTACTCCAATAGTATATATCTTTTTTAATCTCTTTAATAACTTATATCTTTTAAATCACATATTGTTTTTAAGATCTATTTGCATCATTGTACTCCACTCAAAATATGTGACAAAATAATATTCATATTGAATATATTCTCATTTTATTAATTTAAAAGTAATTTATTACATGTTAGAAAGTAACTTCCATGTTATAAGATTATATCTTATACATGGTTAATTCTTATCATTTATTCTATCAGTGTTATTTACAATCCATCAAAGGTTTTTATCTTCTTTTTTCATCCTACATGAAAAACAAAAATAAAAGGAAAAAAACAATCGGTGATTAAACATATGTATAGAGAGTTACTTCTAAACCAGAACTATGCAAAAGTTAATTCCAATTAACATTGAAGTTACTTTTTAAAATTGTTAAACTTACGTGTGTTGATCTGTGCTGATTAAATTTAATATCTAGATAAAGTCATATTTTTATCCCTACAACGAATCTACTTCTAATGTCGTGACAAAGTTACTTCCGTTTTGTTTTTAGATATTTTTATAATATATATGTAAATTATTTTTAGACTTTATTAAATTTACTTTTATATGTCTAAGAAGTAACTTAGTCAAATATAAAAGTAACTTATATATACGATAAAAGTAACTTACACATATAATAAAAGTAATTTACAAATATAAATATTTTTTCATTGTAATATAATCGTGTAAGATCTTATTGTGAAGATTTAATTGTAACGAAGACAATAGTGTAATTGGATTGTAGATCGGATAGGTAATTTGAGATAAAACTTTATAAAAAGGAAGAAAAAGACATGCATGTCTAAGAGGAAAAACAGCATATACGCTAACACGTGTAGCAGTACTTTTTCTCATAATTGTTTCGTCGCTGGTTAGCACTAAATCGAGAGACTACTCGGTTTAGATTTTGCTGAAAACAAAAGGCAAAGAAGACTGGGATGAACATGGGCCTTTTTACGCTTTGACTTCAAAGGTAGCCCAGGAGAAGCCCGATAATAGTCAGGCGAACTGCCGATTGCCGAAGGGTCTCTCACACTCTCACAGCAGCATCGCACGGTCGCGCAGAATGGGCAGAAGAGAAGATGTCGTCGAAGTCGAAGCCAACCAAAACTGTGCCGCCGGCTGCTCGGCTGCGTACGTGCACGGCGCACCTGCGAATGATCTGGCCACCGCCACCGAGCGGCGCGCGGTTTGACCCTTGACAGCCTCAGCCCGCGTCTCGGCTCTCGAGCCTCGCGAGGAGAAAGCGACCGGCCGCGTGCCGCCGTGCAGGAGCTGCATCGAGAGGCTCCCTGCACTCCGCGCCCAATCCTGAAAAATCCCCTCCGCCCGCCCCGCCTCCACCCCACGTCCTCCTCCTCCCCAGCAGTCCCACCCGCGCACGCACGTCGATCCGGGAGAGAGAGAGAGAGCGCGATGACGCCGCTCCACGCCGCCCCGCACCATGCCGCGGCCGCGGCCGCGGTCGTCTCCTCGCCCTCATCCGCGCCGCTCCTCCTCCGCGCCAAGCCTTACCACCCCAAGGCGGCGGCTTGCTCCTTCACCGTGACCGCCACCACTCCGTCGAGGAAAGGTTAGCAACTCAGACATCATTAGAAAAAAAAAAAACCATCTAATATCTGCGTGCGTGCGTACGACGAGAGGTCACGGCGGCGCACTGTGGCAACCAACTAGGAGTACTTTGGCTCGTCTGCGCTGGTCTGTGCCGCTGTGCGCGCACTGTTTCTCTTCTCTTGTTTATTGCTTGCTTGGCCTTTTCCGTGCTCGCGTAAGCGGATAAGGGTCGTGTGCCATGGTGTTTTGCAAGCGTACACCTGCCCCTGCGTCTGACTCGACGAGCCGTTTCTTTATCCTTTTTTTTTTTAGCTGCAGAGAGCAATGTTTGATCATCCATATAAAACTCTCGCGCATCCGTTTTTCTCTCTCTTGCTGGGGTCAAGAGGTCAATACACAGTTCGGTCCTTCAAAGATTTGGTCCTTTTTGCTATAGTTTAGATCGTCGATTTCTCAGGTTCTTGACACCGCATGGATGGTAGGATCAAGAAAGGCATCGCCGCGCAAGTCACGATTCCTCTCGCCATTTTAACTGATCGCCCTGTTTCTTTCTTTGCGCCAGCTTTCCTGTCGTGCCCGGATCACGGCCAGGCGGCGGCGGGGGCGGCGCCGCCGCGCTCCGCCCCGGCGTCGTCGCCGGCGCTCATCTCCTCCGTCCAGGACCTGTACGACTTCATCTGCAGCGGCCCGCTCGTGGACAGGATCGGGTACACCAAGGAGAAGATCGCCGGCTCCATCGACCGGTGGCTGCGCTGCGGTGTGCAGGTGGCCCGGCTGTTCCGCCTCAACGAGCTCCACCTCTCGGAGGCGGAGAAGGCCAGGATATACCACTTCTACATCCCCGTCTTCCTCTGGTGCGAGGACCAGGTCACGGAGCACAGGGCCAAGTACAAGGACGGCGACGAGATCCCTCCATTAGTGGTATGCACATGAAACATTTTTCTCTTTATCATAGAAGAAGCTGATGAAATCTGACATGTAGCTTTGTCCACTAGTGCCTGATAGCATCCATTCCAAACCTCTCATGGCATGTTCCATCAGGTGGACATAGCAGAACATATTCCTCTGCATTATGAGTACATCGCACAAAATATTTCATCATGAAGCATCTATTGCTTTAATCAGCATGACACGCACTCATGGATCGTTTTATCACGAAGGGATATATTAATTATACCGAAATGGGAACTGTGAATATCAAGTCACAAGAACGGACAAGTCTTTATCTGATTCTAATTCACATTTTGTAAATGAATCGTCTTTGTGTGATGTAGATTGGGGTCAGCGCTCCCCAAGGCAGTGGAAAGACAACTCTTGTTTTCGCACTTGATTATCTTTTTCGGGTTGCTGGTAGGTGAGTTCTTCTTGTCATTCTAGTCATGTTATGTTTACCCGTATCAATGAAATTTAAAAGACAAGACTTTTCCGTGCCTTAGGAATGCCGCTACATTATCTATCGATGACTTCTACTTGACGGCAGCAGAACAGGTGTGAGTCTTCAAATATTGTGCAATTATCCGTTCTGTTTTACTACTCCAAGTACTTGGCAAATTAGTGAAAACAATTAATGAATATTTCCAGGGTAAATTGAGGGAAAGAAATCCTGGAAATGCTCTTTTGGAGGTACAAAGAACACCCCAGATCCAATATACACTGTTTTGGTTCAAGTATTGTATTGTGAACTGAGAGTAAATAACCAAAACTTTACAGCTTCGTGGAAATGCTGGAAGCCATGATCTCCCGTTCTCAGTTGAAACACTTGAATCGCTGCTTAAACTAACTAAAGAAGGTACTGATTTTTGACAAGTATATATATCCTCTTCAGACCAATTTTATTATATTTGAACAGCCTTGCACATAGTATATTTTTTATTTTGGAGAATTTATTGAAATGATATGCATCCTAGTTTCAATGTAAAATAGTTTGTCACTGATATTACAATATATTTAGGTTTGAAGATGAAGCTTCCACGGTATGACAAGGTAAAAGGTTGCAGTTATCGTCGCCTAGATGATTTTTATAATTGAGTAGCTGCATGATACATGTCACATGTCCATGTAGTCTGCTTTTGGTGGAAGAGGTGATCGGGCTGATCCTTCAACATGGCCAGAGGTTGAAGGGCCCTTAGAGGTAAGCTCATGTTGAGCTGTAGGGCTTTTTGAGATGAGAAAATTGTAATTTTTGAACATTTTCTATGTCTGTTTTCTCTGTCCTAGGTTGTTCTTTTTGAAGGATGGATGCTTGGATTCAAACCTCTTCCAAATGAAGTTGTAAAAGCAGTGGACCCTCAGGCGGGTTTCCGATATTACCACATTATCTGATTTCTTTGTTTCTCTTTTACTTAATATGACTTGCCTTTTTTCATCTTCAGCTTGAGGTGGTTAATAAGAACCTTGAGGCATACTACGATGCATGGGACAGGTTCATTGGGTCATGGATGGTCATAAAAATAAAGGAACCTAGTTGCGTGTACCAGTGGAGACTGCAGGTCATTACCAGATTTATCTAAGTAACTAATGGTGTCAGAAAATGCACAACCATGAATTGCAATTTTCTTATGTTATTTGGATTTACAGGCAGAGATAGCTATGAGAGCAGATGGGAAACCAGGAATGTCTGATGAGGAGGTTTGTTTCTCACATAGCTATGCATTCATTATAACATCCTATTGGCTTCCTTTCCGTCCTAGTTTGATAATTTGCTAATGCCTTGCTGTTACTAACCGTCAAGTAAAGTAGACAAATTGCCACCAATTAGGAATAGCTCCCACTGAATTCAGTTGTGGCCAAACTGAGTAAGTACACCACTCACATCAGTACATTTGAGTAAAATCTTCAGGGACGCAAAAGTACTTGCTACTCAGTGAATCACCTCTAAAAACCTATTCATGTAACAGACTGGTTTTCCGTGTTGAAAATTGAAAGAAAACAGGGAATTCCCGTGATTGGAAAAAGAAAAAAACTGCATCACTTCACCTGAAAGTTGAGCAACAAGAACTGTTACTAGTATTGAATTATCTGATGTATTCTTCAGTGAACAATTTTATGCTATTCACTGAAGCTCATTCGAGTCTTGGATTCTCTTTCTAATGCATTTGATGAGCTAGGTTAACATGCTTCTGGTAATTCTTGCAGGTCATGGATTTTGTGTCGCGCTACCTACCAGCATACCACGCATATTTGCCCACTCTATATAAAGAGGGACCAAACGGCTCGAACCCAGACCACCTGCTGGTCGTTGACATAGACGAAAAGAGGAATCCTATGTGGGGTAGATGAGCCCTGAATGTACATTGCTGAAAGAAAATGGATCTTCTGACCCAATGGTGGAGTTTGGGATATCTGATCTTTCTGAGACCACATATTCCAAGCAAGCACCACTGGCCTCTTGTTTCTTGTGGCTTGAACAAGTACTAAACGTGTAAAACTTTGATGTATACGAAATCTTGCTATTACTTATAAGGAAATCGGAATCCCAATTCATTTTGCTGAGTGCATCTGTGATACCGTGATGTGATGTTGCATTTGGGTGTTTTGGAATTTGGACATGAGGTTGGTGTATACTATCGACAGGAATATATATAATTTTATAATCTTATAGTATGCATGATCCGTTGTAGTCTAGCTGGTTAGGATACTCGGCTCTCACCCGAGAGACCCGGGTTTGAGTCCCGGCAACGGAATTTTTTTTGTTCAGAGGGCGAACAGATTTTTGATTTTTTTTTTTTGTTCAGCTTGAGGGCTTATTCGATTTGTAGGATTTTCAAACCGTAGGAATAGAAAATACATAGGAATAATGTGGGAATACATGTGCAAACCTATAGATTAAAAAACATATGAAATTTTCCTATGGTTAAGTTGCAAACAATCCAAAGGATTGAAAACATTGGGTTGTTGTCACACCCCAATCTTTTTTTTTTTGGTTCAGCTTGAGGGCTTATTCGATTTGTAGGATTTTCAAACCGTAGGAATAGAAAATACATAGGAATAATGTGGGAATACATGTGCAAACCTATAGATTAAAAAACATATGAAATTTTCCTATGGTTAAGTTGCAAACAATCCAAAGGATTGAAAACATTGGGTTGTTGTCACACCCCAATCTGGCACCGCCGTACAACGGCACCTGACAGGAGCGTGTCGTAGGAAAACGGCATGAACCGTGTCCTACGAAACCGCGATCTCAGTACCAGTCCCAGGACATAGCGCTGGTACCCACGGTGACAAACATGAATCATTACAAATCCTTATAATTAATAGAAGACTTATTTACCTTAACTTAGATTGCAGCTCAAACAGCCCGAGAATGCAACCGACGACACGGACGAGGCAAACACCAACAACAGCAGCAGCGGAACCAACCAACGGACTAACACCCAACGCCACAGGCAACGGCAGGGAACTAGGACGAAATCCTAATATTCACTTCACTTCAACTTCATCTTCAGAGCTGGCAGAACTATATTTATATAGAGAGCAAGGGTGAGTACTTACGTACTCAGCAAGCTAGGGGAACTTAGGTGGTTAATGCAAGCTTCAAGGGAAGGCTGTTATTTTGCAAACAGTTTTGTTTTCAAGTTTTCAACAATCTAAGTGTGTGCTTTCCACAACCAGAGCGAGACAAGTCTCAGCTCGGTCGGGAGGTGAGAAGTAACAAATTTATTTATCAAGATTTGCACAACTCCCAGAGTTGGCTTCAAATCTGGTTTTCCCAAACCAAACCAATTTTCCAAACTTCCCGATAATAGTGGTCCCCAAACGACCAATCACTTCCAGGGACTCCCGGTCCCACTGTCCCCCGGATAGCTAAATGCTTCCCAAGCATTAGGTTTCCAAAACTTAACACCTTTTCATAAAACAGGGTAAAACAAAAACTACGCTAAGGAATCACCTCACATCCGCCCATGACCGTGGGCACGGCTGTTTGAACAGTTTGTTAACCTCTGCAGAGGGGGTACACTTTACCCACACGACGTTACTAACCCGGGTCACCCAACCCGTGCAGAACAGCCACGTCTGGCGACTTTGAGGCTTTCACGACAAGGCATTTCCAAAGCCGACACAGGGTTGCCATATGCCAACGAGAGGGGTCCCAGACCAACAACAGGTTAGGTCCCAGACCATACTGTGCCAGGAAGCCCGGGGGTTCTCCCCGACACCACCCCGTTGAATCCACATGTCTCTTGGCATCAAGGCACCCCTGATTAGCTACTTACTCAGCCAGGGGCGTCCCATTCCACCCATGTGGTCGCACTATTGTATGCTCGGATGTAATTCCAAAGGAATCGGTCCTTAGATGAGACCGCACAAGTATTCCGCCCAGGAATGGCCTTGTGTCGCGAGTTTTATTTTTAAAACTCATTTTCTTTCACAAGGCACCGACCCAGGCGTCGGGTTTTCCAAAGCTTTTGTAAACCAAGTTTTACCCAAGATGTTTCTCAGATTTTAAGTTTGAAGGCAACCGTCGATACTCGTGCAGAGTGCACGAATACCGAGGCGCAACTAGGTGGTTACAAGGGAACATGATATAACAATTAACAATGGAAGGATCAGATGCAACAAGTTAGGTAGGCCCACCGGTCTGCCTTGCAGACGGGGCAAACAGATTAAGTGCAATCCTATCAATGCATAATATTTTGCAAGCAATATAATTAAGTTCAAATATAGGCTCAATATGTTCAAAGGTGGCTTGCCTTGCTCAGGGTCTTCACGAAGCTTCACAAATCTTCGAGAAATCCGCTTGAAGAAAAATATCCGATAACCGCAACTAGGCGCAAACAATCAAAAACCTAAGCAAAGACCAAATAAAATGTCCTATTTAGGCTAATTAATAGTGCCATTAGATAGATCACAATTTAATGGAATTACTGGAAGTGGAACGGAGGCAATCGGACGAACGGATTAAGGGATATGAATTTTGGAAGTTTAAATGAATTTTTCTGGACAAGGAGATGATTTGTCGGAATTTTCTGGAATACGAGAAATGGTTTATGGAATTTATAGAAATAATATTCTCAATAATATTATTGACATCCACTGACATGCGGGCTCGAGGGGACGAATTATTGGAATCTCTGGATTAAGAGGATGGGTTTATGGAATTTGCAATATAGGAAATGATTTATTGAATTTCTAGAAAAGAGAAATATGTGTGGAGTATTGAAAAAGATATTCCCAAGAATATCTTTGACTCATTGACACGTGGGGCCAACAAGAAGGTGAGAGAGAGAGGAGCAATTGGAGGGAGTAATTGTGGACTTTTAGCTCTTGGGTGTGTGGGCACTGGACTCGGAGGAGGGACTAAAAGTGAACTTTTTCCGTGTCATCAGGCCTAAGGGGAGGTTGGCTGATGGGCCAAGCCCGCGAGCGAGAGGAAGAGGAGGCGGCTGACCGAGTCAAGCGGGGCCGGGTGGCTGAGGTGGCGGCCACGTGGTCGTCACGCTGGCAGGAGACAGGGGGAGAGGAGGAGCGCGTCCGGAGATCGGACGGCTCACGGCGGCACAACGGCGCCGGCGAGCGGCGGCGAGCCGGAGGGAGGGGACGGCGCCGGAGGCAAAAGGAGGAGAAGTTGAACTCATTCCACGGCTCGGATTAGGGCGCCGGGGTCGGAGGGGGGGCGGCGACGGCGTCAGGCGGCGGCGGCGGGAGCGGCACGGCGCGGGCGCAGAGGCCGAGGCTAGCGACTGCGGCGACGCTTCTGGGAGGTCCGAGGGGTCACGGGGCGGTGCGCGACCGTGCGCACGACGGCGGTGGAAAGGACAGCACGGCGCAGGAGCAAAAGAGGAGGCCAGCGGGCGGAGCGACGGTTTTGGGGTGGCTCAAGGGGACTCAAGGAGGGTGGCGGCGCGAGGTACGGCGAGAGGGGAGAGAGGCCGACGGCGGCGGAAAACAGAGCCACGGCGAGGCGAGCAGCTAGACGATGTAGGGGAAGGATTTAGGCTCGGGGCTCACCGGCAAGAGGAAATGACGTCGACGGCGATTTTGTGGTGGGAGAGGGAAGGCCGACGGGGGAGTGCGGCCGGGATTTCCGAAGGCGGTGGCGAATCGGGACCGGCGCGGCATCCGGAAATACGGGGACAGGGCAGGGCGGCACGGACGGGTTTTGCGGCGAGGTGGCAACGACCGTCGTTCGGCCAAGGAAGGAGAAGGACGCGGCGAGGATGGAACGACTCGACGGCGAGATGCCTCCGGACATGGAGCTCGACGCGGCGGCCAGGAGTTCCCTTGGCGGCAGAGCTTCGCCGCTTGGGGGAAACGAAGCAAGGGGGGAGGAAGCACGGGGGTGGGTTTTATAGAGGGGGTGTGGGAGCGTCAAGGTCGGTTCGGGGGAGCATGCGAGCTGGCGCTCGGCCGGCGTTCACGGGCGACGTCGGCGTTTTCGTGGGCGGCACGAAACGGCGGATGGCGCGGATGCGATGGGCGGTGGAGGCGGTGGATCGTGCGGTGGGAATCGAACCGCGAGCGCGGGCTGGCGCGGCTCGGCGTGGTCAAGGTGGGGCATGGCGAGCTGGCGCGCGGCGTCAGGGGCGCTCGCTGCCATGGCGCTAGGTGCCAAGCGGTGGAGGTAGGGCGTCGGTTCGAGAGAGGAAAAAGGGAGAAAGGAGGGGGAAAAGGGAAGCTTGCTCCATGTCGCTTCGGGAAAAAAGGCGAAGGAGGAAGAGGGGCGAGACCGAGTGCTGGCTCTCGCCCTTGGACGCATGCGTGCAGAGCAGCAGGGCCGGGCGGCAGCGCGGGCACGGGCGGCGTCGGGGCTGACGCGGCGGCGACCGAGCGGCGAGCGCGCGCGCGGGAAACCGACGGGCGAATTCAAACGGCAGCGGCGGAAATCGGCGCCGGGGAGAGGAGTTCGACGAGAACGAGAGATGGAGAGAGAGAGAGAGAGAGAGAGGAAGGAGACGAGAGAGGCGCTCCCTCTCTTGCTCGGCGCGTGCAGCGCACGTGCGGGGAGGAGGAGGAGCGACCGAGAGGAGAAGATGGGCCGGAAAAGGGAAAAACGGCCCAACGACCGAGAGGGAGGTGAAATATACTTTTTTTGAGGAATTTCTTCAAGGAATTTAAGGAGCATTTGACATTGGATTTGAATTCAAATTGGATATTTGAACTCAACAAAATATGGAGAAGCCAAGGAGGGGATTCAAATAGCGAATTCGATACTTTCGGAAATGGGAAGGAATTTCGATGAGGCGTGATTTTCGATGTCGATGAGTGGTTGAAGTTCAAAGCGAGAATTGATATTTTAGGAATATGTTTGTATTTGGCAGCTCAAGGATTATTTGAGAGGGAAACAAAATGAGAAATCAATGTTCGGGGGTGAATCAAAGGATGTGGCGGTAGAATGCGATAGATAGATAGATAGATAGATAGATAGATAGATAGATAGATAGATAGATAGATAGATAGATGGATGGATGGATAGATAGAGCGATGGAGACGAGGAGAGGGGGAAGCTTGGATGTTAGAGCTAGCTCAAGGAGGGAATTTGATCGGAGAGG